GCGATTCTCCAAAGCCCTAGAACTGACTTCGTCTTCTTCGACGGCTGATTCGCGGAATCGCCGGTGTAATTGAAACGGCGTCGTCTGATTCGTGTTACTCCGGCGAGTAGGTTGCACGGTTTGCTGATTTTCTTGAGGCGATAATGGCGAATAGGACGGATCCGTTGGCGAAGAACATAAGAGGGACGAACCCGCAGAATCTGGTGGAGAAGATCGTGAGGACGAAGATTTACCAGCATACTTTTTGGAAGGAGCAGTGTTTTGGTCTCACGGCGGAGACGCTTGTCGATAAGGCTATGGAGCTTGACCACATTGGTGGAACTTTTGGTGGTAACCGCAAGCCTACTCCGTTCCTTTGCCTTATACTGAAGATGCTACAAATCCAGCCTGAGAAGGATATTGTCGTGGAGTTCATCAAAAACGATGATTACAAGTATGATCTCTAACCAAAAGCTTTTTTATTTGGATACTGCAATTAGCTGTTTCTCAAGCACATATGTTTCCGGGTATGTCCATGTAGGTTAGATTGCAGCTATAGGTTTCTTTGAAGTTTTGGTGTCATTATCTTGCTAGCTTCTATATTCCTGCGCTTGATTTGGTTGTCTCACAACGTTTTTGATGTTGTAAAGGTTGATTATTGAGAAGGTTTACTCTCTTGGTTTCTGCAGGTATGTTCGTATACTTGGTGCGTTTTATCTCCGTCTCACTGGAAGTGATGTTGATGTCTATCGCTACCTTGAACCTCTCTACAACGACTACCGGAAAGTGAGGCAAAAGCTATCTGATGGGAGTAAGTTTCATTTTCTTTCAATGGATCCATTTGTATTATACTTTTGATTGATTTGTTCCCTAACCAATTTTATTTCCTTGGGTTGGAACAGGGTTTTCGTTGACACATGTAGACGAAGTTATCGAGGAACTTTTAACCAAGGATTATTCTTGTGATATTGCAATGCCACGCTTGAAAAAAAGGTTTGTTCTTTTTTTCTTTGCATTTGGATATAGTTGAATCTTAGCTTTTGGTTTCTGCAGTATTGTAATATTGTTAATTTGTCTCTGTGATGGTAGGTGGACTCTTGAACAGAATGATTTGTTAGAGCCAAGGAAAAGCGTTTTGGAAGACGATTTT